CCACTTCACACTTCCCAGGACTAACCACTTCACACTTCCCAGGACTATCACATAAATGCTATCCCTGTACCGTTAACCATGCTGGCATCCCAGTTTAATTTCACCTACTCACCAACACTGTACTGTTGGTTCATTTAGCTTTTTGCTTTTTCTGATTTTTAGGTTTGTTCCAGTGCTAGAATAAATAGTACATTTCTGGATTAGCATTTCTGCAAATTTCTCCAGCCAGCCACCCCCATGATCTCAAATGGTGAAAACTTGAGGGTTTTGTTTTGTTTTGTTTTTTTTAAGATCAGGCATGGTGGCACATAGCACCTGGGAGGCAGATGTAGGTGAATCTCTATGAGTCCAAGGCTAGCCTGGTCTATAGACTGAGTTCCAGGATAGCCAGAGATGTATAAGAAGCCCTGTTTAAAAAAAAAAAAACTTTATAAGTAAGGGGCTGGAGAGATGGCTCAGATGTTAAGAGCAGTGGCTTCTCTTCCAGAGGATCTGGGTTCAATTCCCAGCACCCACATGGCAGTTTACAGCTGTCTGTAACTCCAGTTCCAGGGGATCTGACACCCTCATACAGACAAACATAGGTAAAACACCAATGCACATGAAATCAAAAACAAAAACAAAACTTGCTGATTTTAAATATCAATGGAGGGTCTGTTCTTCTTCTTTTTTTTTCAATGCAAAAGCAAGAGGAATTTTATTGTTCCAGCATACTGGGGTCATCCTGCACCCAAAAGGAGAGGCAATGACCCCACGCAGCTCATTCAGTGAGCCGTTATACAGTTTTTAGGGGTAGACTAGAGAAACAGCAACTAGGCACAATATGATTGGCAGAACAATGTGACTTTTAAACTGATTGGTCCTTAGAGAATGAGGTGGCAAGGACTTCCTTTGTCTGTGGGTGGCCAAAGGTCCATCCAGTGGAATGTGTCCTGACCCACAGGTCGACTCTCTCCCCTGTTGTCTGAGGAATGTTAATTAGCCTCTCCCTTCCAGAGGGACAAGTGTTCTAAAGTTCCTGAGCTGACCTCTTCAGGTCCTAACAGTGGGAGTGGGTGTGTCTCTGACCCTTTGCCTTCTCTTGAGATGCCTTTCCTCCTATGACATTGCATTGTCCAGCCTCAACATGAGGACTTTTGCCTTGTCTTACTGGTCTTTTTTTTTTTTTTAAATAGAGGATCTGTTAACGGTTATCTGTTACCTTCAGAATAAAACATCTTAGTATAGTTCAGTCTGTCCTCCCTCACCCAGCTCCTCATCCTCTACCACTAGTTTCTAATCATCTAGGTAAAAATTACTTTATTCAATATTTTCTCATTTGAGTTTCTTGAAACAATGGAGTTCTTCCTTTCTCTTTATTTACAAGCAAGCTTATGACAAATCAAAGAAATGATTTCTGTATTCTCAACCACAGTGCAATGGTATGGGGACCCTATCAA